TACAAAATATCTGATTAATACTCCTTAACACTGTCAAAGTCATCAAGAACAAGGAAAGTCTAAGAAACTTTCACAGCCAAAGGGTGCCTAAGGAGACATGACAACTAAATGTAATGTGGTAATTCTGGAGCAGAAAAAGAACATTAAATAAAAATGAAGGTAATCAGAATGAAGTATGGACTTTATTAATAACAATCACGGTTGGTTTATTAATTGTAATGTATGTACCATACTAATGTAAAATGTTAACAGTTGGGGTGAGGAACTCTCCACAATTTTCTGTAAATCTAAAATGATTTTAAAATAAAAGTTTATTTAAAAAGAGCAACAACAAAAATTAATCTGCCCAGTCCTGGGTGGTTGACAGTTGACTTTTGCATTAATTTTGATTTGGGGCTATCTGCAGTGTTTCTCTGCAACTTATGCCAGAAAATCAGGAGTTGATTTTGCTATAATTGAGTCATCAATAAAGTATTAAGTTTAGTCGCATGTTCTTTTAAAAGTATATTAAGAAACTATATTTTAGATCATTGTTATCAAGACCAGCCTTAAGAAGATTTAATTATTTTAAAGGAAGCTTTTTTTTTTTTTAATCCTCTCCTGGGGATATTTTTTCTATTGCTTTTCAGAGGGAGTGGTGGGAGGCAGGGGGAAGAGAGACAGACAGACCGACAGACATCGATTGGTTGCCTCCTGCATGCGCACTGACTGGGGATTGAGCCTGCAACTGAGGTATGTGCACTTGGCCGGAATTGAACCCGTGACCCTTTAGTCTGGGGGCCGACGCTCTAACCACTGAGCCAAACCAGCCAGGGCAGTTGGATAATCTTAATGGACAGTGTCACCAACCTGTGATGACTTCTATATGATAATGCACTGAAAACTGATAGCATTTTAGTGGTTGTTCTGGAGGGCGAATTAGAATACTGGGGTTGCTTGTCTAGGAGCTTTCTCTGTGCATAATGCTGGCAATACACTGACAAATTCTTTTTCTCCTATTTTCTCCAGGCTTCATAGAAACCATTTCTTCAGTTTTTAATCAATCATTATTTTTTGGAAAAAGACATAATTTTAATCTTTTTCATTGTAATTCCATCTTGGTGATTCTTTTTTTAAAAAAAATTTTATTTTTATCTCAATTGTACTTCTGAATCTTCCCTTCTACAAATCTCTTTTTCTCTAGTTGTTTGTTATCTGTATGTTTTATTTACTTAATTTAACTGTTGTATGATTTGATATAGTCACTCATTTTCTAGTATAACACTGTTTCTATGGGAAATCTGAAATTACCATTTCTCTTTAAAATACCTTGCTACTAGTATAATAATTTATTTAATCAGTTTTAAAATGAGGAATTAGATTAATGCCAAATTTCTTTAATTTTTATGATGTATTTTTTAATCTCAGGATTGTGAAAGAAACTCAAGATATTTTCATATGGTTGTGCTATAGTGTAATTTACAACATTATTTAAATGGATTAATTAACAGAATAGACTTATCCTGCAATACACTCTTGCTCCCTAAAAATGTGAATTTTGCATTTTAATATTATGATTTAATTCACTTCTTAGAATGTGATCTAAAAGGGACTAGGATTATTTTTTGTCACTTCCAACATTAGCCTGGAATTGCTGCCTTTCCCTGTTCTGACAGTTGTTATACATATTGTACTAAGAGAGGAAAAAGTAAAAAGACATGAAGTAAATGAGAGAGCAGGAGGCAATAGGCTTTCAAGAGTACAAATATATTTTTGTTTAAATGCTTTAACTTTCTGAGCCATTGGCTCTTCTGAGGGACCTCATCTTTCCCTAGCTTGTTTTCACTTATGAGATATAAGACTGGAAGAACAAGTAAGTGATGACTCCCTCTCAGCAGACACCTATGTTCAGAGGAAGAGCCACTCCTCTCCTTTCTTCCTTTGAGCTGTTGGCAGTGTAATATGGGAATGTGCTCCTGAAACTGAAATGGGAGGTGGTGGGAAACATGGGTCCATAAGAACCAACTTCTCAAGCATATAGAGAATGTTTAGTAATGTGACAATAAAAAACTTGGTGGAATTAACATGAACCACATTTTATTATAATTTAAAACTTGTAACATTTATATATCTTGCCTACAAGCGTAAAGTTGCAAATTAAGAAGATTTTATGATAGTAAGCCTAAATATTATCTGTGTTTTAACTTTTGTTGTTGTTGTTAATCCTCACCTGAGGATATTTTTTTCCATTGCTTTTCAGAGAGACTGGAAAGGAAGGGAGGGGGAGAGAAAGAGAGGGAGAAAGAGAAAAACATTGATGTGAGAGAGACCCATGGACTGGTAGCCTCCCACACTTGCTCCAACCTGGGGTGGGGAGCCAACCCGCAACCGACGTACGTGCCCTTGACCAGAAATCGAACCCGAGACCCTTCGGTGCTTGAGCCGATGTTCTAACTACTGAGTCATACTGGCTAGGGCTTAGTGTTTTAACTTAAAAAATTTTTTTGATCAAATGAATATTCATACCTATTTGAGTCAAATACTACCACAAAGGTTATAGTGAAGGCGAACAGTCTTCTGCTTTATTCCTCTTCATCTCTTTGCCCTCCCCCCACCAAATAACTTACAACTTTTCCTGCAAGTTCTTAATTTATATCACAATTTTTCTTTAAATTAATGTTTATATTATTTTTAATAAAACTTTTTTTCTCATGATTTAATACTTCCATCTTTAAAACTATCCAAGATTCATAAAACTATAAATTGTTTCTCACATAGGCAAATGGGTAGAGTAACAGATAATGTATGGCATTAGCATTATGATTATTCAAATCCAAACATTCATTAGTATAATGTTGTACTAGTACTTTTCCCCATTAAGAACCTGAGTCAAAGTCTACAGAATATCTAGTATTTTGTTTTAATCCACTGACTGAGGAGGATTAGAATCCTTATAAGTACTGAAAGCAAACTAAAGCAGGAAACCTTAGCTTTTATGAGGTCCATGAATGTGATTTAGGGGTTTGTAGACTCAGAATTGTAGGTTAAGATTTTTATGTGTATTTCTCTGGAGGGAGAGTCCATAGCTTTCTATGGATTTCCAAAGAAGTCTGTCACACCTAAACAATGATTGTAACTTCAGTAACAACCACTGAGGAGTGTCTTTAAGCTATAATTCTCAGTATACTTTGGATCATAAACCTGTTTAAAAATCTGATAAAAGCTATAAACTTTCAAATTTGGGTACAATTTTTGAGGTTCTTGTGTTCTCCAAAGCCTATTCTGAGATTACTTGGACTTGCTATGTGGGATTCATAGACCACTGCCATGAAGGATACATGTTCTGGGTCACATTAGGCCTTAGTCTTATTATTTTAGAGACTTTGAGTTTCATTTACATATATTCTTATTCTGCACATTCTGACTTTCTCTATTCATTACATTTCTGTATTTCAAATTTTTATCTCACATATGTCACGTTAGGTAGTAAGTATCTTACTATTATTTCTTTACCTTTTATACTCTATTGGAACAATTTTAAAAACTTTTATTTCCTGTGTTTACTGCCTTTTGTCGGTGTGGGGCAGTTTTCTTAGGTTATAGTCTTAAAAAAGAACAACTAGTGGAAAAATATGTTAAGGGAGATTTTTTTTCAAATAGCCAAGATCTGGAAACAGCCCAAGTGCTCATCAGTAGATGAGTAGATAAAAAAGCTGTGGTACATTAACACAATGGAATACTACTCAACCATGAAAAAAAGAAAAGGAAATCTTTTGTGACAGCAAGGATGGACCAGGAAGGAGATGATTATGCCAAGAGAAATAAGCCAGTCAGAAAAAGACAAATACCATATAATCTCACTTATATGTGGAATCTCCTGGACAAAATAAACTAACAAAGTGGAGACAGACTCATGGATACAGAGAACAGACTAACAGCTGTCAGAGGGGTGGGAGGAGAGGGGACTGGATGAAAGAAGATGAAGGGATTAGCCAAAAAACATATGTGCATAACACATAGATACAGACAGTAGTGTGGTGATGACCAGAGGAAAAGGGGAGTGGGCAAAGGAGGGGAAAAAAGGAACCCATTGCTTGGGGTGATGGATGCATGATGCATTGTGCAGACAATGTTTTATTGAGTTGTACAATTAAAATTCATATGGTTTTGTGAGCCAACCTCACCCCAATAAATTCAATTAAAAAAAAAAGAATGTAAAATTGCAAAAAAGGAACAATTAGTTAATAAATATGTTGCGGGAGATTTTTTTTCCAAATTATATTGTGAATTTTTCACATAAAACATTTCTGTTAAGAAGAGTTACTGATGTATGGCAAGAAAAGTTGCTTCTAATTTTACTTTTGTGGGGAATGGGTTAGCTTTTTCTCTAAGAAGCATCATTTCTTGATAATTAATTTTCCTGCTCTTTTATGGTTTAATTTTGGTGGTCTTTAAGATAACTTTGCCTTTTTTATTTTGGAAATACTTTGTTTCTGATTCTTAAATTTTAAATATCAGATTATAAAGACCCATTTATGTGTTTTGACATCTCTGCAGAGTTGATGTTAATTTGCCAACTATATAAAATTTATCTCAATTATTACTATTTTTTCTACATTGGTATTTTTGTTATTTGGTTGTTCTTTATTAACTTTCATTAATATGTACTGTTCAAATTGAACCTAAAAGATGCCACAAATCAAAATTGTATCCTTATTAGGTAGGGTATATTTCTTAATCCTTTGGTATTTTTTGTCTCTCACGTTTCCTCTTTGTAGTACTCTTACTCTATTTTGACTCTATTCTCCAGTTAGTTACTATTTACTTCTTAAAATATTAAAAAGCTGTACATTTGAGATTTAGAAAAATTGAAATTTTTTTAGTCTCTGCGCATAATTTTCTTTAAGGAGGAATATTTTTATTTGACTTCCAAAGGTCTTAAAAAAAAATTTACCAAAAACAAATATTTAATTAAATATCAAATTATGTAAATATCAAAATAACATAAATTTGACTTTCAGTGCAATGCGTGTTTTACTGTCTAAATTACCAAGACCATGGATTGTGGATGAGAAGAAAGATGATGGTTATACTGCCTTGCATCTAGCTGCCCTTAATAATCATGTGGAAGTGGCTGAATTGTTGGTACATCAGGTAGGAAAAGCAGTTCAATAATTTTTAATAAGTTTAGACCATTGCCATTTGTTTACTTATTAGTTCATCAACTGCGTATTAGTATGTTACAGTAAAATCCCATGATGATGCAAATTTAGAAATAGTGCACATTCAGTCTACTATCTAACACTGGTTGTTAAGTGGAGGGAAGGAAGGGTGTGTGTGCACGCCTCAGTCCCCAGTGTTCCCTCTGCACAGCTTTCCTGGATTGGTCCAATGAAATGAGCATCAACTAAAAGGGATTTCCCAGAATCACTGCCACTGTTGTGGAAGTGTCAGTCAGCCACAGTACCAAGAACCATCATATTGAAGTCTAAGGTGGTGTGGCCAGTTGCCTTTAGCTAACACCAGGCTGCAGCCAGGAACTGGGGATTCATTCAGTTCATGGTTACTTCTGGACCCCTGGAATCTGTGGCTGGATAGCATCACACACACTCACCTTAGTCATTTCATTCATCTCAGAAATAAGATGACTTAACTTTTATGACTGAATATTTTCAGGACCTATTTATTGCAGTTTATGATGTTTTAGTATACTCAGCAAATTTTAAAAGTGCTTCAGTCAAGTGTATGCCATATAGAAGCACTGAAGTTATCAAAGAATTATCTGTGATCCCTGACTTCAAGGAACTTACAGTCGAGTTAAGAAGATGAAATAGCAGAAAAATTTAGGAGATATTCCATTATGTGTAATTAAATCCCAGATCATAAGATAGACCCTCCATAAACTACACAAGTTTAGATAAAGAAATAGTTTAAAAGTTAAACCACCTTTCCTTTGCTATTTTTATTAAACTTTATTCATTTAGAAGTATTGTTAATTTTGATATATTCTTTTTTTATCCTAATNAAGCCTTTATTATTAAACTTTATTCATTTAGAAGTATTGTTAATTTTGATATATTCTTTTTTTATCCTAATCCAGTGGCAGACCTTAAGCCACACTGTCTTGGTTATTGTTGCTTATAGTAAGACTTCAAATTAGTTAGAGTAATCCTCCAACTTTGTTCTTCTTTCTCAGAATTGCCTTAATATTCTAGATCTTTTGAATGTCCATATATATTTTAGAGTCAGATTATTAAGTTTCTATTTAAAAGTCTTTTGGGAGTTTGGCTCTTGCATATATTAGATTTATCTTTAAGTTTTGATGCTGTTGTAAATTGTATAGTTTTAAAATTTTAATTTCTAATTGTATTATGTTAGTGCACAGAAATACAATTATTTTTTGTATATTGACCATATATCCTGTGACGTTGCTTAAATTACCATTGGTCATTCGGGAAATAGAAATTACAATCACATTGAGATGTTACTAATTATCAACTACAATGACTACAATTAAAAAGGCCAGAAAAGCCAAGTGTTGATTAGGATGTGGCACAATTAGAATACACAAACATTGCTGGTGTTTTTTCAGAGCAGCCATTTAAAAAACCAATTCAGCAGTTTCTTATAAAGTTAAACATATTTCACTTATATAGCCCAGCAATTCCACTTTTGGGTATGTACCCAAGAGAACTGAGGACACATTTCCATACAGATACTCATACTAAATATTTGTAGCAGCTTTATTTATAATAGTCCCAAACTGGAAGCAAGCCAGATGTACGTCAGTTGGTGCCTGGATAAACAAATTATGGTACATCCATATAGTGCATACTACTATGGAAAAATCTAAATGATGGAAAAGTTCAGGAAACTTGAAAAGGAAGTTCTTTACTTTTTGCATTTATATGAGAACAAACATGATAAAAAAACAAGCTGAGATTAGGTACCTCATGATTTCGCTCAAAAAACAAATAATAAAAACAAACCAGAAATTCCATCTTCCAGAAAATGTCATAGCCTTACTGGAGTTTCAGCTCTACCTGATGCTCCAAGCAAGGGCACAGTTGGGTATCGGAGTTGAAATCAGAGAGCATGAATGGTTCTAAGACATAAACAGAATGATAAAGTTTTATCTTTTGAACCTATAGCCCTTTTCTTAATTTCCTATTTTTTATTATGCCAGACATTGTGCTAGGCTGTTTTGCATGTTACGTTTTTAATCTTCACATTAACCCTGTGAAATAGGTTTGTATTGTTACCATTTTGGAACTGAGAAAATAGGCATGAGATGGTATAATGCTTGTTTAAGTTCATTTCACAAACTTGTGACAGCAGTTGAACCTAGGTCCCCTGATGCCAAGTTCATTCCTTTTGCTTCTCAGTCCTTTTCCTTTATCCTTGGCTTCAGCTGTTCTCATATAGCCCTTTAGCCATCCCAGGACTCTGGTGGGACATTCTGCTCTTCCTTTATAAGTATTTTTATGTACTAATTAAGTGTTGTCTTCTCACCCTCAAGCAGAGTTCTTTTTCACTGAAGGAGGAAGAGTTCAATTATGCAGCCAGAGGAAGTGATCTTATTTGGTCATTAGAGTATATCTAAATCCAACATGAAGACTCATTAATAAAACTTTTCAGGAAATATTTACAGTTAAAACTCCCTGATTTTCTCCATTGCTCTGCAATCAGAAAGGAGCTGTGTTTGACTGTGGTGTATTTGGTCCTTTAACTGTTCTTATATGAAGTTACCATAATAAAATTAATTTCGAACTTGCTGTTCTACTTCAGAAAGTTTGCTGCCCTTTTAATTCTTCCTGTAGTACTCACACTGTTAACCATATGAGAACAATGTCCCAGCAGTTGGAGGAGTGGAAAGTGGTCACCAGAATCCAGTGTTACTTACTCCTCACAAAGAGTTACAGTTTTAGTGTTTTTCACTGTTGTCAAATTTTAACTATGCAAACCTTGTTGTTTTTTTTCAGGGTAATGCAAACCTGGATATCCAAAATGTGAACCAACAAACGGCCCTCCATCTTGCTGTTGAACGACAGCACACCCAGATTGTTAGGGTAAAGTGTTTACTAACATGAACCTTAGTTTACAGCTGTAGTTTAACCAGACAGATTTCTAGAAAGTTTTGAAAATTTAAGTAACACATTGTTAGATTTCTCAGAAGGCATAGTTATATGTAAAAATTATGATTTTAGACTATTTTATATCGTTTAATTTATAGTAGGGAATATCTTAAAACTCTGATATTCAAAGTGTTTATAATTTTGTTGCCAGATTTGTGACTTCCCAGAATATTAAATCAGAGAATTTCGAAGTAGCATATATATTAGTTTTTAAAAAGTACATTCCCTCTTAATTTATATAATTGAGATTGAGCTGTAATTAAAAACTTTGGCTGGGCATTTGCTGCATAGATTAAAAAAAAGCTGAAATATATATTTTTATTTTATTAATCTGGCAATTCCAGACAAAATATTTGAAAGATTTTTGTTAAAAATTTTTTGGTAGAGCAATGATTCTTAAGGTTTGGAGCCAACAGCATCAGCATCACCTGTGATCTTAGTAGAAAAGTAAATTCTTGGGCCCTACCTCAGACCAGCCAAATCAGAACTTCCTGGTGTGGCAACTGGCAGCAATATGATTTAACAAATCTTCCAGGTAATCTGAGTTACCTTCCAGGTAATTCAGATACATGTTCAAATTTGAGAAACACTGTCCTGGAATGACATTCTATATGACCTTTTGGAAACAAAGTACAAACAAATGAAAACAATTTGCCAAGACAATATACATGAGATTGGTTTCTATGTATGTGTTTTTCTAAAACTGATAGTGTTTGTAGAAAGGATTAAGAAAATTGTTAAAGCACCACAAGTGAAGTCTTAAAGTTGTAGTTACTACTTAAAATATCTATTGAAAGCAAACACTTTACATTTATTGTTATTTAAAATTCCTCTTGCTAAAAATTCTTAATTCTTAATTTATCTATGGTAGTTGGGCTTTCCTTATGACCATACATTTGGAGAAAACTGACCAAAGAGAATGGAATAAAAAATAACTTCTCCTTATTTATTTAAATAATAGAAGAATTTTTAACATTATGATTTGATCCTAGTGGAAGTACTTAAAATATCCCACCTCACATACCTGAAATTAAAAGGAAAAAAAAGTCCTAAATTTCCCCGTTATCTTGATCCTAGAGTAGATGAATTAAACAATATATTGGTTCTCATTTCTTTCTGTTTTCTTTAATTCAATACCCAGAAGGCATTACTCTTTGTAAGAAGCCACAGGGGTATAGAGTAGTAGCAAGCAAATACATAAGAATTATTAGCTTTAGTGGCAGCCCCTTCAGGTAGGCGCTCTCACTATTATTTTAGATATGTTGTAATTTCTTGTAGGTGGGGATACTTTAGCAAAATGAGATGTCTTTCTCTCTTAGCTTTTGGTCCGTGCAGGTGCCAAATTAGATATTCAGGACAAGGATGGGGATACTCCTTTGCATGAAGCTCTGAGGCATCACACCTTGTCTCAGCTACGTCAGCTCCAAGATATGCAAGATGTGGGGAAGGTCGATGCTGCCTGGGAGCCATCCAAAAACACAGTGAGTAAAGTTAATCTTTAATTCAGTACCACTGAAAGTCATTTCCCTAATGACTACTGATATTGAATATCATTTAATGCAAGATCTTATGTTTATGGCTGATTTAATCTGTATCTGATAAAATACTCTATCAGAGTTACATATGTAGAAATTTAATTTATGAACTAAAGACTAGTCAGTGTTAACTATATTGCTTCACATTCTTATCAAAAGTTGCTTGGTTGTGTTTTTTTAACTTTAGCCATTCAAACAGGTGTATTGTAGTTATTTGTTGTGGTTTTAATTTGCATTTCCCCAGTGACTGCTGATATTGAACATCTTTTCATTGGCTTTTTTGCCACTAATATCTGTTTGATGAGTGTTTGTTCATACCATTTGTTCATTATTTTGTTAAGCTGTTTTCTTACTATTGAGTTTTGAGAATTATTATATAATCTGAATACAAGTTCTTTATCAGATATGTGATATGCACGTATTTTCTCCCAGCCTGTGGCTTGTCTTTTCATTCTTTAAAGTGTGTTTGGAAGACCAGAAGTTTTTTAATTTGATGAAGTCTATTTTATCATTTTTAAGTTGTTTCTACTGTTCGTGTTCTATCAGAGAAATTTTTGCCAAACTCAAGGTCACTAAAGTTTTCTCTTGTTTTATACTAGAAGTTTATAAAGTTTTAGCTGTTACATTTAGGCCTGTGATTCATTTTGAGTTAATTTTGTATATATTTTATATATACATTAATAATATATAAATATATATAATGAGATATGGATCAAAGTTTATTTTTTTTGGTTTGTCATATCCAGTTACTCCAGCATTGTTTGTTGAGACTCTTTTCGTACTGAATCACCTGTTGTATCTTTATCCAGAATCAGTTTTAACCCTGTATGTGAAGTCTTTCTGGATCCGATACTCTGTTCTGTTGATTGATGTCTTCAGCTATTGATCTATATCTTTAGCTATGTGATGCCAACTCACTGTCTTGATTATTGTAGCTTTATAATAAATGTTGAAGTAAGGTAGTGTAAGTCCTCTTTTTACTTCTTTTCCAAAGTTGTTCGACTATTCTAAGTCCTTCACTTTTCCATATGAATTTGAGAATCATTCTTAAGAATGTAAAGAGCTTCTGAGACCAAAGTGTTGGAGAATTGCTGCCTTTCTATATGATCATGGATAAAGTCTCTTAATTCCCATGTGCATAATTTTTCTCATTTTAAAATGAGGGGAAGGCAATAACTGTCTCTTAAGGTTGTGAGGATTAAATTAGTTAATTCATGGAAAGTGCTTAAAATAGTTCTTGGTTCATTATAGACACTTCATAAATATGAACAATTATTTTTACTATTTTCAGGTAAGATGTTTGAGTCAATAGTTCAGATGATAACAGAACCTTATTTGTTTCATTCTCCATTTCTTGGCTCAATTCCTAGGTATTAGTTCTTTTCTCACTTGTCTCCTCTTATTGTTTCAAGTTGGTTCCTAGCAGCTTCAGAACCAAATTGAGTAGAAAAGAAAGTACTGTTTTTTTAACATCTCACTCAGAAGTCCTGCTCTTGAGTTTTATTGGCCTTAATTGACCTGATTTGGGTTATGTGTCATCCCTGAATTAATCACACAGAGAGGCTGATATCTGTCTGGTTTGAGCCATCACTGGACCACCTCTAAAAGTGGAGAGCATGCCAGTCCTCAAACTATATGCCTGAGAAAAGTGGGGCTATAGGGGAAGGGTGAATGGATATTAGGACTGCAACTTATAAATGTCCACCTTATTTTTGTTGTCCTCACCCAGAGATATTTTTTCCATTTATTTTTAGAGGCAGTGGAAGGAAGGGAGTGGGGAGGGAGGGAGAGAGAGGGGGAGAGAAACATCGATTTGAGAGAGAGACATGGATTGGTTGCCTCCCATACCTGTCCAGACCAGGTATGTGCCCTTGACTGGGAATTAAACCTGAGACCCTTCAGGTTCACGGGCCAATGCTTTAACTGAGCCACACCTGCGAGGGTATAGTCTGTAAATTCTTAGACATGTAATTTTTATGTGTAACACATATATATTCATATATGTACATATATACATACATACATACACATATGCGTTATATGTGTGTATATATGGGGTGGGGCAAAAGTGGATTTACAGTTTTTTGTATGGGAAATAATACAATAATTAATTAATAATAGTACAAGAATAAACTTTGACCTTAGCCCATTTAGCTCAGTGGTTAGAGTGTCGGCCTGCAGACTGAAGGGTCCCCAGTTTGATGCTGGCCAAGGGCAGGTGCCTCGGTTGCAGGCTCAATCCTCCGCCCTGGACAGCACACGAGCGGGAGGCAACCAATTGATGTGTTTCTCTCACATGGTTGTTTCTCTCTCTCTCCCCCACCCCTGAAAAGCAATGGGAAAAATATCCTCGGGTGAGGATTAAAAAAAGAATAACCTGTGTTTCATGTACTTGCAACTGGAATCCTCCTTTTGCCCCACCCTGTATTTGGTGGTAAGAATTCATAACAGATTCCTTAAGGGGAAATCTTGACTCTTTTTTATTTGATTTCAGTTAATAATGGGACTTGGTACCCAGGGGGCAGAGAAGAAGAGTGCAGCATCTATTGCCTGTTTCTTGGCTGCTAATGGTGCCGACCTTAGCATTCGAAATAAGAAGGGTCAATCACCACTTGATCTCTGTCCTGACCCAAGTCTCTGCAAAGCACTGGCAAAGTGTCATAAAGAAAAAGTCAGGTTTGTATTATTTATTATCATAAAACTTAATATTCTATACATAAAGTGTCATGGTTTCAGAATGAACTACTTGAATACATGAAAATGCCTTTGTCTTTGTTCTTCATATATTTTTCCTTTTTCTTTTATTTTTTACTAAATTTATTGGGGTGACATTGGTTAATAAAATTATATAGGTTTCAAGTGTACAATTCTATAATACATCATGCTATTCCTCTATCTTTGTGTTGACCCTTTCTTAAAAATTTTCCTATAGAGAGCATGTGTCTCTTTATTGCATGTTGTATTCTCTACGTTATTAAATATAATGATTTATGTATAATAAGTTCTAAAACTTTTCTAAGCTAGTCTGATCTTCCAGTACTCCTATATGTTAGAGGAACTTATCTATAAGAAAAGGCCTTACTAGTGAAATTGCTGTGATTAATGTTACACTTATTTAAAATTTTACTAGACTCTTCCAAAGAAAGGCAGTTTACTCACTCTCTAACAGGATATATCTCATACAAACTCTAATAATATAGCACCCTGCACAGTGCCTGATAGGCACTCAGTAAGTACCAATGAAGAATTGAAAAAGTGAACAAATGAATGAACTGATTCCTGATAGGGAGTTTTCTAAAACTAATCACTTAATCCACTTGCCTTCTTTTCTAAAAGTAAAATGTGTCAGTGACTTTAATTACTTATGGTGTAACTAAATGTCTTAATATGAGATTATACACATACAAAAGGTACTTCTCAATTTTTTATCCAAATGGTGCTATACAACTATAATTGCCCTGGTTCTTCTCATTGAACACTTTAGTAGTTGTCCTTGACTTTTGCGCTCTCTTACCTCTCTTATAATTTGTGTAGTGATGAAAAGATATCTCTTTGGAATCCATGCATAGAGTGGTGTTATAGGGAAATTAATATAATGAATTATATACATTTCTTTAAGTGTATCCTTAAGGGGCATAACTTCTATTACAAAATTACAGAATGCCTCTAAAATACATATAGACACAAGGCACTAGAATTCCTGCAATAACTGTAAGACTGGGGTCTAAGATGAAACTGTGTGTGTAAGAGTGTGTGTGCGTGTGCGTGCGTGGGCACTTTCTTGAATTTCTAAAGACCATAGTAGAAACAGGGTATCCCTTTTCTATAGCTGTAGCTGGTCATATATATGTATTTCTGTGTCTTGTATCTTTTTATTTATAGACGCATTGTCTTCCTGTAGTAGAATTTTTGCTCCCTAAGGATACACTTAAAGACATGTCTGAACAGCAGCTGCGGTGACATATTTTCCAACATGTCCTGTCAGTTGTGGACTCTGATGGTGCTTCATTTCATCCTTTCTGTAGTTAGGGTAACTAACATGGACTCTAGTTAGGGGTTTTTTTATTCCTAGACCTTTCTCAGCTGGTTCTATATAGCTAAAAAGTTCTGAGTGAAATTGTGTTTATGCGAAATTTTAAACTAGTGGTTTTGATTTTTTTGTTAAAAGATTCGGATCTACCATTTTCCAATGGGTGAGCACTTGTTCAGTTTGTAATTTGAATAGTACTGCAAGTATGTGAAGATGCAGAGATGTGTATAAATAGAAAAATATAGTATACCGTGATACATATAGAGATGTTAAAGCTTAATTTTTTAACATATCTAAAGCTGTTTTTATATACACTACTGATGCTGTAGATGTTTTAAAAAACATTTTAATTATTAAATTTGTAATACAAATATTCTGATAGGCTTGATTAGAAATATTTTCTTTTATTAGTGGTCAAGTGGGCTCTCGAAGTCCTTCTATGATTAGTAATGATTCTGAAACCTTAGAAGAGTGTATGGTGTGCTCAGATATGAAGAGAGATACTCTTTTTGGCCCATGTGGACATATTGCTACCTGTTCTCTATGTTCTCCACGAGTCAAGAAATGCCTCATTTGTAAAGAGCAAGTTCAATCTAGGACAAAGGTAATATATTTTTAATATAGTATTTTACCATTTTATGAATATCTCTGAGACTACAGTTAATGATAAATAAGATGATATGGTGCTGTGTGTCTGTTTAATTTTGTTCTTCCTGTTCTAAATATAGGAATGTATAATTTAGATATTTATTGAGACCATTTATGATGTTCCTTCTTTATATGTAAACTGTAGTCATTAAAAATAATTTACTATTTTGCTTTAGAGCACCTTATAACCTAAAGATGTATTTGATTCCATTTTGTATTGCAGTTACTTGTAAATTGCCCCTTTCCTGAGTACATGAACTATTTTGTATTTATCTTTGTAAAGACCATAAATTGTTTTCTGTAGGATGTCACACATTCTGGATTTATTTGCTTGTTTGGTCATGGCATTAATTTTTTTTTCTATCATCTGTGTTTCCTGTAAACTGGAAGGTAGGTCTAATGGCTTGATTAGGGCCTGCTTAAACATTTTTGTCAAGGAAACATGACAGGTGATGCTACTCATTTTGTATCATTTCCCTCCAGGAGGCAAATAAAGTTTGATCATCCTGCAATTAGTGATGGCCAAACTCTGTATCCACTCTGAACTTTTCATCTTGTCTGACTTCTTTTGCTTTTTGAGAAGCATTCTTTTCTGGGTTACTGGTTTTATTATTTTCCCATGTAACTCAGTGCTTTATCATAACTATACTGACTTATTTTGGCTTACTGAAATAATTGATTTTCTGTTTTAGTTTTTCCTAATATGTGTGTGTGTGTGTGTGTGTGTGTGTGTGCACGTGTGCGTGTAAAGTGAGATTTAAGTTTCTTACAAATGATTACTCTCAAGGTGAGTAGCTTAAACCAAAAGATACGTTGGTTTTCTTTGGTTTCATTTATGAAGTTTATACTCTTTTTTCCATTCTAGTTTTTTTATTTTTTCATTTTTCTCTTGACGCTTTTTAAGCTATTCATTGACCTTTATTAATTAGAAAGGAGCTGGCACTAATTCTCCTAATGATTTAGGAGGCAGTAACTTGAAAGGTGTTATCTCGCCAGTGCTTCCCACATTTTCATATGGAACATTCTAAGACTGGATGTTTTTTATGATCCAGATGACTATATCTTTGGTAAAATTTTGACGTAAAAAAAAGCACAAGGAAGTTATTTTTTTGGAAAGAAGATACTGGAGTATTTGTGCAGCTGCTCAATCTCTCGGTAAAGGTGAGGATGAACCAATGGCACTGATTGTACGCTGGGTACCCACGTGCATTTTATGTGCATTGTCCATGAACCTTGCTTAATAAATACATGTGGATTATTCTACTTGGTATTTGTAATATAGTTAGCTGCTTACACAGTAACAGTTTGGGAAAGAATCTGAAAGAAGAAAAACCCAAGCCATTCTCTTATTTTTAGATTGGTCTGTGAATTCTGCTCTTGTGCTTGGGACTTTTTGTTATATTAAAGCCCTATTTCAACAAACCTTTATTGAGCACTTGCTTTGTAGTCAAGACATACATGTGGATGATAATTTCCTGCTAAAAATTTGTAATCTCTTGGCAAACTATGACTTAGGTCAAGAGCTACTCTGCCATATAGGATGTTGTAGGTGCTTTAAGACATGTAAAGTGAGTTCAGAGCCCCAGCTTGTCCAAGACAGAGGTCCCTGTTCTTTGCACTGTGTTATGATACACTGACAAAATGAAAAACAGTGTCTGCAAGGGAGGATTGCTGGAACAGAGAGGTAGAGAGGAAGAAATATGCTGCCATTTTTTTTTAGACCAGTTCTGAATTCCAAGAATTAGTAAGCTTCCAATTTGTTTTTAAACTATGGAATTTTCAAACCTGTAGAAAAGTACAAAGACTAATATACTCACCAAATAGATTTGCCAGATTGGTTGCAGAGCCTTTGCAGATAAAGAAATAGTGACCCCAAGTGGTTAAAGGATAATGTACATCTTCACTGAAGATGAATTATAAAACTAGTATTTGGAGGACGGGAGAATAAACAAGCTCAGTTTCTTTACTAATTAAAGAAATACAAATTTAAAGATTATGAATTATTAACCATTCTTACCAAATTAGTGAAAATAAATTTAAAAAAACTCCTCTCTAGAGAAGTGGGAAATGAGTACTCTCTTAACACTGGTGGAGGCTAAATAAATGGCTTCACATTTCTGAGAGACCATCCTGACACTATATATACACAAACCTTCATAATAAACATGCTTTAATATAGCAGTTCCATTCCTGGGAATATAACCCAAGGAAAATTTCCAGAAGAGGGAAAAAGTTATGGTTATAAAGTGTTTTTCTTTTTTTAATAACAGGATTGGGTAAGTAAATGATTATTATATCATTTTGCTAGATTATTTTAAACTCTTTATAAACAATCCAGATACATACACAGTTCCATTAGGAACCATTAAAAAAACCCCAGCACATCATTATATAGAGAGGAGAAGAGAATTCTCATGTACTCGGCACAGATTTTATATTAGACATTGAATTAAACATGTTACATATAACACTTAATTTACTCGTCTTTTCCTTGTCACATTTTAATCTTTCCTTAGTACTTAGCACAACAGTTCTTAAAATATTTGTAGGAAAATGATTCTTACATACAAATGGTTAGATCAGTCAATTTTACCTCCCCGCCGTCACTGCTCTTGAAACTTTTGTCCATGTCTCCAGTTGCTAACATTTGGGATTTCCATTTCTTCTTTCACCCAAGTTGTGCCTGCTTTCTGTTTGGTTTACTAGCCAACCAGATGGATGGCTGACTGACATACCTTTGAAACTTAGCCATGGTCCAGCCCTAGTCTCATACGTCTCCTTTATGAGAATGGAAAACCTTTGTTGGGAGTTACGAATAATTAGTGTACTTACCTCAGGCTATGGGTCCCTTAACCACACATATCCAGGGCTTTCCTATTTTTTGCTCCCTACCCACAATTCTGGTGGTGTACTGCTTGGGTCTAGATTGCTATACTGAAGGTAACCATTCCTTTCATTGTAATCTGACCTTGAATAGTACTAAAGCCTGAATGTAATCCTAGAGTTGGAAAAAACACCCTGGTCTTAGTCCTATGAGCTGTAGGAGACTGAAATTTGTTTCTTTCAGCTGTTTGGAACCAGTTAGTCAAGTCAGAAACTTAGCAAATATGCTAAACTTATTCACCATTCATTCCCCACATAGTATTAGTTACCAAGTCTTCTTAAATGTTCTCAAAACTCCTTCCACTCTTCCATATTGCTGTATTGTAGATCAGCTATGCCCTCACTGTCTCACATTTAGAATCGTTCAAGGGCACACTTGAATAAGGGACACCTAACTCCTCTCCCTATCTTATTCTCATTTACTCTTTACTACTCTGTAAAGGATTGTTCTTTAGCATTCAGATTAAAAAAACAAAAACAAAAAAAAACAACGGCTCAACAATATTGGGCAATTTGTTAGCACTAGAGCTGGAATTTGAGTCCAGGAATATAAATAGTGCTTTCCACTATTACTACAACTATATAAATTCTCTGCACATAACAGGGTATATAAGTTAGGAAAGTCCAGAGAGAAAGCATGCATGCAGTGTTTGGTTGTTTAGGTGAAGTTATAGGTGAGTGGTGGTCATCATTTTTGGACTCTAATATTAAATGACAGAGATGTGGGTAAATGTGAATGTGTGTCAGGAGGGAGAAGAACAGGTGAAAGATGGATGTGAAGCCAAGGACAGTGGGGTGGGTGTGGGTAAAAGAAACCAGAGCCAAAGTTAAGAAGTAATTACACACTCAGAACTCAGATTAACCGATGAAGAGGAGGTAAAATTGAGGGAAATTACGAATAGGTCTTGGGAGACTTTAGAGACCAGGGAGAAAGAATAGGACAAAACTTTGGGCTCCAGCCGGTGTTGGGGAATTGACCAAGTCCTGGGAAAGGATGTTTTAGGTAGTGTTCCTTAGATGTGTGTATGTAGAAAAAATTCCCTTGAATTTTAGCAGTCTGGCTAAATTTTTATTAATATTAGAAACCTATCTCTTTTTTTTAAAATATATCTTTACTGATTTCAGAGAGAGGAAAGGAGAGAGAGAGAGAGAGAGAGAGAGAGAGAGAGAAACATCAACGATGGGAAAGTCATTGATTGAGCCCACAACCCGGGCATGTGCCCTGACTGGGAATCGAATCCCGATCGCCTGGGTCCTAGGTCGAGGCTCAACTGCTGAGCCACGCCTGGCTGGGCTAGAAATCTATCTTAATATCAGTCATTTGTTTTTTAAATTTTTCTCCCCAAAGTAGTTTTTGAAAAAAAGAAAATTGAAGTCTACTCTGGTCTTCCTGACTTCAGAGGAAATTGGAGTTTTATTGTTTTTTATTTTTAATTTTTTAAAATATATCTTTATTGATTTCAGATAGAGGAAGGGAGGGAGAGGGAGAGGGAAATGGAAACATCAGTGATGAGAGATTCATTGATCCGCTGCCTCCTGCATGCCCCTAACTGGGGATCCAGCCTGCAACCCGGGCATGTGCCCTGACTGGGAGTCGAACCGTGATCTCCTGGATCCTAGGTTGATGCTCAACCGCTGAGCCATGCCCGGTAGGGCAGAAATGGAGTTTTTTAATATCATTCTTTAGAACAGGTAGGGGGACTAAAGTGGACATGGAACCTGTTCAGCAGGAAAAATGAGTAACCAAAAGAGTGGAGGACAGAAGTATGTATAAAATTTGGCATGCCTAGAGTGTTTCCTTATAGAAGAAATACATTTGGATACAAAAGAAACTTAGAGCTTTATCTGTAGATGTTCATGCTTGCACTGTGTAACTTCTTTTTTGTAGATCGAAGAATGTGTGGTATGCTCAGACAAGAAAGCAGCTGTTCTTTTTCAACCGTGTGGACACATGTGTGCTTGTGAGAGTAAGTAGCCTATGAAAAACTTCCTCAGTATTATTATAAAAGTAGAAAATGAAACAAATTTTTGATAACTCACGAACAACAGAGTTGGTGGACCTCTAGTACCTTCCATTTCATTCTCTCTACTAGAATGTCACCTATTTTCCTCCTTGCTCCTGAGCCTTAAAGAAGACTGAATATGCTGTGTTCCATTAGGTCAAATTTTCATTTCATTTGTTTTAGCACAAAATGATCTCTTCTCACACACAGTAGAAATTTATTCCTAAAAAATGGATGTTGAAACATTTTGTCTAGCCCTTTCTCATATATAAAATTATCACATCTTCAATTGTCTTCACCTTAATATTGCTTTTCTTGCATAATTTTCCCACTACTGAACCACACAGAGCAATAATTGGGGTTATAATTTCTGGCCTTCTTAACTATTTTTTTTTTTTAAATATATCTTTATTGATTTCAGAGAGAGGAAAGGAGAGAGAGAGAGAGAGAGAGAGATAGAAACATCAATGATGAGAGAGTCATTCATCAGCTGCAGCCCGCAACCTGGGCACGTGCCCTGACCGGGAATTGAACCCCAGTCGCCCAGATCCTAGGTTGACGCTTAACTACTGAGCCACGCCCGGCCGGGCTTAACTATTCTTAATTGAACCTCTGTCAAGAGAACTGACAGAAATCTTTTCTTCATGAGGATAGTATTAAAATTTAAGAGATTTAAAAAAAAGTTTTACTGACTTTAGGGAGAGGGTGAGAGAGGTAGAAACATCCATGAGAGAGAAACATCCATATCCATAGGCTGCCTCCTGCACACCCCTTGCTGGGGATCGACCCCATAACCCGAGCATGTGCCCTGACTGGGAATCAAACCAGTGACCTCCTGGTGCATGGATCGACACTCAACCACTGGACCACACCAGCTGCGCATATAATGCCAAAACATCCATAGGCTATATAAATAAATGAGTTGGAGTATTTTCCATTAGAACTTTATTTACTGCCTGGCCGGGCATGGCTCAGCGGTTGAGCATCAACCTAGGATCCACGAGGTTCGATTCTGGGTCAGGGCACACGCCTGGGTTGCAGGCTCCATCCTTAGGCGCGTGCAGGAGGCATCCAATCAATGACGACTGACTCTCTCATCATTGATGTTTCTCTCTCTCCCTCTCCCTTCCTCTCTCTGAAATCAATAAAGATATATTTCAAAACAAAACAAAACAAACTTTATTTACAAAAATAGGCTAATGGTTGGGTTTGATCTGCAGGCTGTAGTATATCTCAGTATTAAATTTAAGTTATAAGAATGAGCAGAGAAAAGGCAACCCTTTTCTTATTCATGTTCTCTTTTGTAAGAAGTGTCCTATTGTTTTCCAGACTGTGCTAGCTTGATGAAAAAGTGTGTGCAGTGTCGGGCAGTGGTTGAACGAAGAGTGCCTTTCATTATGTGTTGTGGAGGGAAAAGTTCAGAAGACACTACTGATGATATCTGTAAGTGGATTTCTTAAGCATTGTCCTTCTTGTTGGGACTTTCCCAAACATCTCCTCTCATGCATAGTACACTATGATCTTGTAAAGCATGAGGTATACAGTTTGAATTTACAGAGGAACAGGTAGGGTTTTGCTCCTTTTACATTACTAGAAACCTGAAAATTTTCTAGCTTGTGATATGATTATAGAACTTTAAACATTAGCCTTTGAAGATACCACCATCTATGATATAAAGAATATTACTGTATTCTTGCTTAAAGAAAATTTGCTATTTTTAAGATGCAGTTTAGTGTATCTTGGGGGAACATCATATTACAAATTATTTTTTTAGTTTATGAAAGTATTAACATCATTCTTATGTTTAGCAGGTTTATCTGGAGCATTTGAGTATTTTATGGAATAATAGTTTGGACAGAGTGTAGATAAACTGAAGTATAACCTAGTGAACAAATGGAAAGGTGAAAAGTAAATTATTTACCTTTAACCTCTTCAGTAGTATAGCTATGTAAAAATATTTTTCATCTTTGCACTAAATATAAGCTGAATGGTATCTTTGATTTCTTTGGGCTCTGTGCAGATGTGGAAAACATTAGTGTAACTACTTCTGCACAGGGCTTTTGTCTTTATCACCATTGGAGCAGAATATAAATCCCGGGGATAGATTAACTAAAGTAAAAGACCAAGAATCTAGAGAGTAGGAAAAGTGAAATAAAAAATTTCCCTCCATTTAGTAGAGCACTGATCATGGCCTTTCTTTCATGGAGTTCCTCATCTCAGATCACTAACAACAAGGAGAGTTGGGAATAAAGGAAGGAGGCTTGCTGCCAAAATTAGCTGAAATGCTGTGCTGCTTGTCGTCTTGGGTTCATACAGTGCAGGAATGGGAAGGAAGCATAAAATGTATTTGTGACCTTGTTGAAGGAAGCAAGTAGAGCCTTGGAAAACCCTCCTCAAGTCTGGGTTAGCTGTGTTAAATATAATTAGAAAGTAATGTGTAAACCTATTTATTTTTGAAGATAATAAATGCAGGAGTATAACATGAATGTCACTACCGTATCTGTTGTCCACATGTAAAAATAATATTTAAAGAGGGTTCTAATAATAGTCTTGTGTCTTTGTTTTTAAGATTTTTTTATTGATTTTTAGAGAGAGAGGGAGAGAGAGAGAGAAAAAGACCATGTGAGAGCTAGACATTGAGCCTCTTCTCACCCCCTAGTGGGGATTGAGCCTGCAACCCAGGCATGTGCCTTGACCAAGAATTGAACCGTGATCTCCTAGGTTGATGCTCAACCACTGAGCCATGCCGGCCGGACAATTTTTAATAAAACAATAATAATTTTAGAAATAATAAATAGTTATTGTGTCCAAACAGTCATAACATTAGAATTTTTTATCTATATTATAGCAAGTGGAAGTATCCCAGTGTTACAAAAGGACAAGGACAATACCAATGTCAATGCAGATGTGCAGAAGTTGCAGCAGCAGTTGCAAGACATTAAGGAGCAGGTAATAATGCTTTCTCCATGGCAAAAACGATTTTAACAGTAGCATGTCACATTTTTCTATGAAACTAATAGTGTTTTCTATATTACGCATGATTCATATTAATATATTGCTTGTGGTATTTTAATATTTGCAGCAGATAAAATCTGATTAAAAGATTTACTCAGGCCCTTTCCAAAAATAGGAAACACAAATGATCATAAACATGAAAAAATGCTCAATACACTAGTAATAAAGAAATGAAAAATAAACCACTGTGAGGTACCTTTTGCCACCTACCAGACTGCAGGAAAACTCAGTGTTAAAAACTCATTGTCAGGTGTTTAGGCAGAATATGTAGCAGACATAACTCACGATGCTAGTAGGAATGTAAGTTAATGAAAACAGAAAATTTGCTATCATTTTAATAAAACTAAACAGAATGGGGATGCAAACGGGGGAATAATCGTACAGAAGATGGTGTTTAAAATCAAGAGTAGTGGTTTTCTTGGCTGGGATGTCTGGGAGGAGGCATAAGAAAAGTTTCTAGAGTACAGTACTGATACTTCATTTCTTGATTTAACTATCAATTTACATGCATTTTATCAGTTGGTGAATTTATATTAAACTGTACACTTAGGATTTGTGCACATTTCTGTATAGATGTGATGCTTCAAAAATGTACACACACACACATAAAGAAAAGCAAGGGAAAGATAAATGCAAAATTCAGAATAGAAGTTATCAGTGATGGAAAGGATTGGAGAGGATGTGTGGAAGGGCTTCAAAAGAAAAGGCAGTGTTTCATGCTTTAAACTGGGTGGTGGTCATATTGTTCTTTATATTTTATACATATCAACAGAAATGCTCTTATCTACTCAATATTCAATAAAAGCAACAATAAAATAAGGAAAAATTAGCTAAAACTTGTAGGCATGTAGTAAGAAAGTCTTTTTTCCTCCCATACCTGGCTATTTGACCCAGCAATTAAATCTGATTTAATTCAAAAGTTTAAGCTGCAAAAGATGTTATTTCTTTAGTTAGAATTACTAAATTACACAATTTAGTAATAACACAATTACATCAGTGTTGCCATGAAGTTATTAGAGTCAGCAGTTGTCGTTTCTATCTGAATTTTAAGAATGTGACATAATCAGTAGTGACCTAGGATAACTAATGACCCTTGTGATAACTAATTTAGAATTAAGTATATATGTTTGTTAGGAATTAAAACACCATCTGAAAACATGAAAACTCTATGATTGGACCAGGTTTTTTTTTCTGAAATCCAGCACCTACTAATACTTGTTATATAGTGAATAAGTAAAGATAAATATGGATTTACAAAATCTTAATGTAGGAATATTAAAGTAGAAACATATTTAGCTCATTCTAGTATAAAATAAAATGTTTTTAAATTTTTGAAGCTCCTTAGAGTCTCAGTTCCTTTTCCAAAGACACTTATAGAAAGGTAAAACTGATTTTTGAACACACCTTCTTTGAAAAGCATTTCATTTCCAAATTGTGAATTAAAATTGTTTTTATAATAAGACAACCTATATGGATCCTAAAAGAATAACTCAGCTCTACCTTTATCCAAAGTTTACCATTCAAAGTTTTTTCTTCCTTAAATTATCTTTACTACCATATTTCACCATTAAAGTATTTAAACACTTAAAACAAAATTCATTTTCTGAGGAGTGATGGGATTTCTTGCAGGCCCCCTTCAAGGTTACCAAGAGAAAGCATCTGAATAGCTCTCCTCTTTTATTTTAAATCTCCAATCTATCTATTACCCCAATTGTCTTTAACAGACAATAATTAATTTCATATTCTCTTATGGATGCATTAACTCAAAGTAACTTAACTAAGAGTGCACAGGTGTGTTTACTTTCGGAAATACGAGTTATTACTTAGGTAGAACTCTTGAAAATTTAATGGAAAAGAAACTTTTAATGACACTAAAAAGCTGGTTTGGCTTTTTAAATGAAAAATAGGACTTTCTCCAGCTTTGCTTGACAAAACTTTAAGATAGATAAATATGAAAATATGCTTTGGAAGGGTGGGGTTAACAAGTTAGTCTACAATTCCATTTTTTTATGTCTTTTTTTTTCCACAGTGATTTCTGGTATTGTCAAAGTTGATAACTACATCTTCATGTAGGCTTTAGGTCTGGTTTATTAATCTATACATTGTTGTTTAACTATTTCACTTCTATGTTATTTGTGAAAAATGTAATTCAGAATGAAATAATACTGTATGTTAAGGTAAAAAATGTTTTTATAAATATAAAATGTAAAATGTGTTTTGTGAATGAATATGTGATTTCCTAGAGTGTTTCACAGAAGTCTATCTGTCATACTTCTAAATTCTTCTGAGTTCATGAAATTACATTATTAATATGTAGCTAAGACTAATTGTTGTTAACTAAGAGGATATGCATTGACAGCATGCAGTGCCGCATAATGTTCAAGAGCAAGAGCTCTGGGGCCACTTGACTTGAGTTCACATTGTGGCTTGCTTTGGGGAAGCTTTTAACCACACTAAACCTCAGTTTTCTTGATTTTAAAGTGGGAGTGATAATAGGACTGAGGTTGTATCATATCTAGTGTAGTGCTTGGCATATGTTCTTAGCGACTTCTCTATGCTTCCCCCTTTCCCAGGAGGTCTGATACATTGCATTATTGTCATACAAGAACAGCATAGTACCTAGAGTTGGGGAATCTGAATCGGACTGAATGGGGCTGTTTACGTTCATTCCCTGTTAGATTTTGGCCTGTGCATGTTTTGTTTTATATAGTATTTTTTATTCAGTATTTGTTTTATGTAGTGCCTTTTATACTGTCCTGACAGTACAACCAACATTTCTATTTCATAGGGGTGATGTTTTAACTATTTAAAAATTTAAAAAAAATTGTAAGCAACAAAAGATTATTTGACTAAAAGAACAAAAGAAGATGTTACAGAGTTGTCACGTTACACTTTCAAAATATAAAATGTCTCAGCATTTATTACTTTATTTGTTATCTTCCATTCCAGACAATGTGCCCTGTGTGTTTGGATCGTCTAAAGAATATGATTTTCCTCTGTGGCCATGGAACATGCCAGCTCTGCGGAGACCGAATGAGTGAATGTCCAATTTGTCGAAAGGCTATTGAACGAAGGATTCTTTTGTATTAACAAGAAACTCAGTGTGTTTTGTTAGCTAAGGTATTTGGTCATGAGATTTTAGTAAGCTTTTAAGCTAGTTGAAGGTTCTAAGAAATTAATTTTTAATATTATAGTTTCTTTACGAGAGTATAATTAGATTGTAAATGTTCCAGAACAAAAAAACTACAAAACAGTGTTTTAAGTCCTGTGTTTTTTTGTTTGTATTTTGTTTTAATTTGTTTTTTTTTGTGTGTGTTTTTTGTTGTTGTTTGTTTTGTTTTAATTTGAAACATCACATCCATGTATTTCATGGTTAATTTACTATTGGCTAAGGGGAAAATCTACTAAGGAAAATCCTTTAAAGATCTGTTATAAATTTGTTAGACGACAGAAAATACACTTCCTTATAATCTCCTGTCCTTCAGTTTATCATGATTTATACAGTGAGTTGACACAGGTACTCAGAAGAGTTATGCATCAAGTGAAAGGGGCAAGTCAAACCATTCTGTCACACATATTAAGGGAATATTGAAGAGAGAATTCTTTTTAAGATAACATAAAGTTATCCAAATGATTGTTTCTGAATTCTTTGAGTACATGGAAGCATAGAAGAATAACTTTGCATTTAGCTTATTTTCTAGATTTAAAGGGAAAAGAAAACTTGGATCCAGTTTCAAAATGACTGGTAGACATGAAAAGGAAAAATTGTAGTGGGAACTGAAGGGAGGAAAACTATTCCGTCAAAGAGTATCTATTAACTGCTATTAATGGTTGCCTTTCTTATATTAATTTAAACACTGTTGTTTTGTTCAGCCAGCCTTTAAAAAAATGCCTGTGAAAAGTGTGCCTCAGCTTTCCCTCTGGTTGCTTATCCAGGCTTGATCTGTCCAATGAAATGGTAATCCCCTCATTGGCCTCTGGGGTTCTCTTCAGCCCTTCCAGTATACTGAATAGTAGTGCCCGTGATCTGAGCAGGATAGTGCACTGTCCAAAGGCATCAACCCTTTCTTCGGTCTGTTAATTCTGACTGATACGGAGTCTAGGCTTGCTTCCATTCCCTCTCAGATAGTAAGGCTTACTATAAAGAGCACAGTCTCTCTTTATACCTAGAGATGAGGATATTATCTAAACTGCCAACAATATCCAAGACATAATAAATATCCTAAAAATAAATACAAAGAGTGACTAGGACATTTACAGAAATATGTCCGATTACCTGTAAGTTTTTTTAAACTCAAACTTTGATTTTAGAGCTTCTAATCACTTTCTCTTCTTTGGATGAGCAATCTTATCTAGGATGGATATACACACAAATAAGCGTCTGAGGGTTCATTGCTGCTAGATTTTTAAGGTATCAGCTGTTTACAGTAATGTCTACATATTATATACTGTGTATTAGCTTACTCCTAAGGGTAGTTATCTTTTTTTGTAGTTTTCCTCCCCCTCTGAATCTGATTCTTAAGTCCATTTTTCTGGTACAACGACTAACTTGGAAAGTACAGTCTCAAGCCCTCATAGCACCATATTTCTGACTATTTAATGGCTACTGCCATTGCACGTCCTGGTGAAAACAGTGGTGAGCTTTGCTGGCTGATTTTATAGTATCAGTAATTCCATATCTGTGTTTAGCTGACTAACATCATTTAGAGCGATAAAATTTTTATAAATTTACATTTGAAAATTTACTGACTCAGTTATCTAATAAAGGGCCACTGAGGCTATTTTTAAGCCATATTTTGAAGTTATAAAAAGATAGAACATCTGGCTGATGATGTTCGCCTAAGGAGACAAATAAACTATGCTCTTTCAGATTTGAAAACAGTGTAAGTCTGGATTGTCCTTTTCTTCCATGCCCTGGGCCACCCATCTCTTTTCTAATAGATCCGATCTGCTGGTAAGGAGGGAGCACCTGGCTGACTCATGCATAGTTTGGCCAACCAGAGGATTTTATGATCTAGAACTCTACTTAAATCCTTTTTATTTGTCTTCTGAGCTACAGTGCTAAAGCTTATATTCCTAAAAGGCAATTTTATCTTACAGACTTGTTTATTTCCACCATATTCAAAATATAATAACTTACAAACTGTTATAAAAGTTATGACGTCAGTATATTATAGTGCTATGCACTTGTGGATTTTCTATATTTGTACCACTTTGAAATTTACTTAAATAGAAAATGTTTTCCTATTCACATTTTCAAGCACTTGAAAAATTATTTTAAATTTATTTTGGCATTGTGAGAGAGAATAAGATAAGAAGTTAATGAAGTGACTTTCCTCTTACTCTGTGAAACTGCTACCTCTTATTGTATATGTCTCTCAGCAGTACTTTCCCAGTGAGGCATGTTTCCTTCTCATTATCACCTCTATCTCATGCCTTAAAGAGCTTGTACTTTTCCTGGAATCATTTAAAAAAACAAAACTGACATGCATACATTAAAAAACATATGGGGCTTCATTTAAAAAATGGTCAGCACCTAGCACACACAGAATTTATCAGGCAGTTGTATATTTAAAGTAATCTGTAGACAAAAAGGGATCTAAATGCTAGCATTTTTTCTTAATGTTTTATAAGAGTTATCAGTAAGTAGTATTTGGATTCCCTCTTTCTACCCCCTCACTCTTACCACATTTTCTCCTTTATTCTTCTAAGATTGCCAGCTTTGTTACCCAAAACATAAAACTTACCAGATGGTGGTGCTATTCTAATTGTTTTTCTTCACATAATTTAACATTCTTACTGCTTATACTATATACATACTTAATTTTGTTGGGAGCAAGAAGTTTTTCAAATAAAGGTCATTTTGTATTAGTATAGGAATATTATATTAGACAAGTGTTTAGTTTAACTGGCTGAATTATGCTTGGTTATTTGTAATTTTAAACATTGCAACTTGACTAGCTAACTACTGAGGCATAAAATTGAGAATAACTTTCTTAAATCTATATCTTTGATGGCTTTAGCCTGTAAGGACATTCTAGTATATTGAAATGCATGCTGCTTAAGGTTTGTCCAATTAAAATTTCAAAGCTTGCTTCGTTTTTACATGGCCGAAACATACTGTCTAGTCTGTGTTGCCAATTGCCATTTTTTGGTTTATTATGAATTTTGGACCCTATTGGACTAGGAATTAGTTAAATTTATGAACTAAGAGAATTAGTGATGGAGGCGTAGGATAAGGAGAACAGTAGGGGGTTGTAGCAAGTAAGAAAGAAATGTCAGTGTTTGAATTAGAGGAGGAAAGGCGGGATCAGGTAGGTTTCATCAAAGTAAGTGGAGAGAGAGTATTTAATTGAATAACAGAAAGGGTCTTTCATCCAGTTCTCAGTGTAGTTTGACAGTTGCTTTGGAAATTATAGGCGTTAATACAGCTTGCTTTTTTAAGAAATCGAAAAGGAAAAGCACTTCTCAGAGTGTCTAAAATACTTTATAGTAATAATTTGTGTAAAAATTGAATTTTGGAATATAAGTTTTTGCATTTCTTTATTGTGATAAAAACACATAACATGAAATTTACCATCTTAACCATTTTCTGGTGTACAGTTTAGTAATATTAAGTAAATTCAGATTGTTGTGATACAATCACATCTTGAAAAATTTAAAATCTATGCCCATTAAACAATGAACTCCTTTCTCTCCTGCCCCTAGTGGAATTGAATTTTGATTAAATATAAAAAGAAACACCTGAAATATTTTAAATGCTAGTGTTTGCAAGATCAAAAATGATAAACATCAAGTTCCTAAAATTTGGGGGATGACAGAATTTTCTTTCCCCACCCCTACCATTATCATCAGTCATAATTGAGTAGGTTTTAAATGTCTGTTAATTGAAAGGGTTTGTGAGTTCATTTTGAACCAGAGGGAAGAAACATTTTAAACATTAGAATTAGTTTAGCTTTGAACTTATACTAAATTAGGAAGGTAAAGGATTTTCATAAATTATGTGTGCCTTGTTGAAAATGTCAGTTGTCTTTAATTCTACATGTAACTATTGAAAAAACTTTTTCTCTCAAAAAGCAACCTAGTTTTATTCGCTTGACTATTATGATAGAATGCTTACTGATATTACTTGATAATCATATATAGCCTTGGAACTTTAACATATACATAAAACTATAATAGTATTAAAAATTACAGTTGTACTTCTTTAAAACATTAAATTTGAGGAAAAACTATTCAGTGCTGTCTCATGTGTACATTGCTTTGCTATAGTGAGGGGGAGTCCTTTAGATTGAGCCTCAATTTACTGATAAATGCTTAGCAGTGGGTGAAACTAGAGTATTAAAGTATGAGCTAGATAGTGGAGCTGATGAATTAGAATTGTAAGTTGCTACATTAGCATTTTCTACCTCCATTTCTATTGGAGTGTTATTTTCCCCCAGCATTTATTCATACTTGTAACTAAGGAGGAGGTGGAAACCCAAGGTTAAATTGAAATTTTAATTTTGTTGAGGATTTAAGCAGTAGGTGCAGGAAAGGTGACTTACCACATCAATTTGGTGCCTAAAGCCATAACTACAAGTTTTAATTGACATGGATAAAATATGTAAGAAAGATAATATTGCCGAATATGTTACTTTTCCTGTGTAGTCTATTTGATTTTGTTTCATAAACATGACTTCTTTCCTTCAAAAAGCAAAATGGTCTTATAATTTTCTATAAAATAAACAAATGTGCCATTTTGACTGAAATCTATAATTTCAGGAAGCTATTGAAAGTTCTGACTCAGGGCTTTTTAACAGTTTAAGCAATTGGTAATTGTATTTTGGAAAATCCATCTACATAATTCTTCAGTGCCTTGAAAGAATTATTAACTTGGCAACACTACTAAAACTTTATAGAAGGCATAGTGTGTGTGTATTAACCTACACACGTTTATAAGTTGTATTGCTTAAGCTTGTGTGATAGCGATACTGTATGTGTGCTGGGTTTGGGTAATTCTTTAAAGGAACTTTTCTAGATTTGCACTTGATATTTGTTCTTTTAATAAAACTGATTATTTATGGCCATGACACTGTTACCAGAAAAGTAATTCTATATTAAGTCATTATGCAAAATCATGTATCAGTAGCATCTGGGAAGAGGAGCTAGGGTTCAGTTTGCCATTTTAATATGAAATGAGGATCTGTTTGGTAAACACAGATGGTCTTCCTCTGAAATGAGAGACCTTTTGTTCAAGTGATTCCGTTTAAAAGAAATTTTGGGGGGGTGGGAGTGGAAATCACGAATTGCATGTCATTCTTATATTAGTCTTACTGCCAGCCTGTCTTAGATTGAATCCACAATATTGTTTTTGTTAAGTTCAGTATGCTTGTGTCATTCTAAATACAGTATATCCAGTGATAGGAAGCAATTTAATGGACTCAGCAGTGTTTTGCTTTGTATTTTTTCCAGTGGCTTTTAGCTTTTGCTTTATTAAATTTAAAGTCTTGTTTGTGAATATAGTTTTTGTATGACAAATGATTCTTGCTTATTAGCTTTTTTTTTAAAAGGGTGCTTAGCAAGAGCTAAGCTTTTAAAAATAAATACAAACATTTACCATTAATAAAACCTATGATATAATATCATTATGTAATTATGTCCTCTGATCTTTTGAACCTATTCTTTATAGATATAAACATGAATTTTGATTGTTAAGGCATTTGAAAACAAGTCTCAGTATATCAGATCTCTTATTAGGGAAGAAATTTTCATGCCTTTGAGAAACAAAACATCTCCATCTCAATAAGATACAGGTATCTACACCTAGAAGGCTCTCATGACAATTGTTTACATTTAAGGTACCTCTGTCTAAAGGGCCAAAGAAGCTTTTCATATTTTAACACCTCGCATTCTTTCAAGAGTAAGATATATTGTGAAAGTAGTCTGAATAGGATAATTTGATAGATAATAAGTCAATTAGGAAGATTCAACTTTTTCTAGAAAAAGTGTGTTCCTCTTTACAATTCTGATGTAGATTTTATTTTCAAGAGTACGTTTTAAAGCAATGATTTATTTGGCTTTGTTAGCCAAATTCTGTGACTAAATTAGTAATTGAATGGTTTGATAGTTATTTCTCAAGTTAATAGAAGCACTTATTTGTGAAGTTATTGAGAGGTTGTCTAGTTTGAGTTTAAAAGATTGAGTTTGTGTATCTCAGATGTTTAAGAGGAAACTGTCTGAAACAATCTTTTTAAATTGCTTATTTGAAAAAAATATATATTTCAACTTCAAAATTGTGAATTTATTTTTGGATAACCTCTAACTGTATTTTTGTTTTTCTGTTGCTGTATAATTAGATATTTTGTTGCAATATTTTATTAAATTGAAACTCTGTAGGTTTTAAAAATAAAGCCATTGTAGAAAATCTGATTTATATATTTTTTATCATTGACAGTTCTTCATTCTTCACAGAAGTTAAACTAGTTAAACTTGTTTGTTAGTCTTATAGTGTGGAATTTCCCAAACTTACAGACAATGAAAACATTTAAATGGTGTATTGCAGAGCAGTGTAGGCATTTATGAGATAGAAAAAGTGCATGGGTGGGTTAAAGTAGAACACTAGAAATGATCTCAGACAAATTCATTGCTGAAGAATGATCATTTGACTAATAGTTTTTATCTTATTTTCTTAATTGAATTTATTGGGTTGACATTGGTTAATAAAATGATACAGATTTCAGGTGTACAGTTCTATTATACTAGTTTTTTCCTTTATAATAAAACTAGTTGATAAACTCATTTTTATTTTGGTAAGGACAAAAAAAATGATAAACCTGTAAGTATGAGACAAGAGAAAAGAGACCATCAATTGCTAAGACAATGATATATCAATGAGACTGTTAAGCCATGCTGCCTGCGCTCTAATGCTCTAATCCAGCAACTTTCAACCGGTGTGCCGCAAGCAATACCTGACTGTTTAGTCAGGGGCACCCACCTCTTTTCCCTGGATTGTCAAAGAAAAAATGACAACAGCCAACACAACAATAACCGTCCAGTGTGAATGAATCAAAATTATACCTTTTTTTTTTTCCAGATTGACAAAAAATATATTTTTTGGTGTGCTGCAGGATTTTAGTAATTTGTGCTATGAGATGAAAAAGGTTGAAAATCGCTGCTCTAATCAAATGTCATGCTTTAGGTGCCCCTACAATGTTCTCAACAGTAGATAAAGAGAATTGATGTGATTTCATTGAGAGGTTAACTCCCCAAGATTAGCAAAAGTGGGATGTAGGCAGTTCCTAGTTGAATGTGGGATGAATCTCAAAGGAAATAATTTGCTTAAAATGTTGAATGTTCTAGAGGAAAGTATTAACGATACCCTGGTTTATAAATGTGCTGGTATGTTACATGCTGTTTCTTATTGTCATTCTATATTGATGATCTCACCATTACTGTCACTCAGTTATTATCTATATGTTTGGAAGATTCCTGATTCTACATCCTAAGATTCTTATTTCCAACTTCATTTGGGCATATTTGAATAGATAGGCAGGCATCTCAAACCTGATATGTCTCAATGTTAAATAGATTATTCCCAGTGTACAGGGGTGTCCCCCAAAAATGTATATTTCTTTTCAGATTTAACCCATTGAAATGAATAATTATTCAAAGTGTGTATACATTTTGGGGGGACACCCAACACTTTTATTAACTCTATTACCCAGTTTCTTAAAGTAGAAACTTGTCATATTTGACTACTTTTTATCACATTTAATTATTTGCTGGATCCTGTTATTGCTTCTTTGGAAACATCTCTTGAATCTAATCTTCATCTCTGTTCCCATCAGCTCCTCCTGGGTAATTTCAGGAGCATTCTACCCAGTCTCACTATGGCAGCCCCTTCCTGCTTCCATCTTTCCTCTGTATTAACTCAGTGGTTATTGTCCTTTAAAAACAAGTGTCTGTCTGCTATGTAAGGAGATTGGAACTTGACAGCCCTCTTCTCACCATAAGAAAAAAGCTGAGCAAACTGAAAATCAACTCTTATTTGATTAGAGAATTGAGGCCACAGGACCAGCCACTGCTCCAGAAATTGTGGACACAGGCAGTTACAGAGAATCACAGTTTACTGGAGCAGAAGCCCAGGAGCTGACACCCATGCTGGAACCAGTACTAGGGTAGGAAACCCTAAACTAATTGATCAGTTGCTGGAGGCTCAGTGTGGACAAACTTGGGAGTTAAAAATCCCCCCCCACCACCACTGAATTTTACTGCTAGGAGACCTATCAGGTCCTCACAGTGAAGACCAGAGGAAGATTCCCCTGTGCTCTGGTCTGAGGAGTGGAAAAGCAGCCATTCTGACACGCAGAGCATTCTGTTCCCCTGAACAAGGCCTGCCCTTAAGGGAAACTATTCTGCCAGAGCCCAACTGGCAGAATACCCAAGTCCAACCCACTTTAGGCTTTATTTGGGGAAGGCCAATACCTCATCCAGCCCCCTGTAGCCTTCCTGTTTCAGGGACAGAGATTCGCTAAAAGACTGAGACCTAGTCACAGGACAACAGAATGCTGTCTAATGTCCCTCCTCTCCATCTTATTGCCTCCCTGCTTGGGAGAGCCCATCCTCCTGGGAATGCTGATGGCTTCTCACTCCAAAACATGGACGCTCAAAGTGCAGGTTTGGAAAATAGGAATTGTCTTCTTCCAGTCATAACCAAGAGCATTTACTTCTCAGTGGGATCTCGGGCATTTCTTATGGGAAGATAAATGACACACCAGGGCCCAGGACCATCCTGCTGCTCCACTGGGAGAGGAGGTGGTGTTCTCTGTGCCCCCCCTTGCCCCGCTCTCCCATGGAATTTTCCTTGCACAAGGGAAACCAAGCTTCTTTAACAAGAAGTGTTTTCTACCTGTGTGCATTGTCAGAGACTGTCAAACCTGCATTCCATCCTCACATTTGGTCTCAAATGAGGAAATTGTTCATTGACAAGAACCCCCTCCCCCCCTCTCCGAAAGATGTTCTATGCAGGAGTGTGAAGTAACTGTCTAATGAACACGAGGATAGTGAGTAAATATGACATCATTATGTTTAATAGCAACATAAACCCTTATTTAGCCCCTACTATGTGCCACGCACAGGCAATTTATAGACATCATCCAAGTTTCATTTTTCCTATGAGGATGGGGAGGCTCGGGAGGCTCAGAGAGCCTAAACAAATTGCTCATAGTCTTTAAGTTAGTAGCTGTGCTAGGATCCAAAATTGGTTTTCTTATTTTCATCTTCCCTGCCTCCCTCTTTCCCTTCATTTTTTGTGACAAGCAAAGGCCATAATCCCAACATCACACACCTGCCTTTGATGAGAGCTTTAATGTGTGTCAGGAAGGAGGTTGATGTGAGAAGTAACCATATATGAGAATTTCAAGTTGAATGAAAAAAACCTGGGCAGGTGGTAGTAACTTACTTCACCTTTCTGCTCTTTGCATTTTTCCCTGGAAATTTCCCTGTATGAAAGTAAGTTCCCCAAACTGTGATCTTCATTGAGTGCACCAGCCTCTCTCTTCCACAAGGGGACAGTAAAATCCTCTTAGTGAATTAGAGACCTGTTACTGCCATAACCACCCCTGCCTTAGCACTGGGGCAAGGCAGGATCATTCTGTTATTGAACAGACCTCTGACCTTCGCATGTTCTTTCTCTTCATGCTGGTTTATTCAAGCTGAATTCATCTGCATTCCATCCTCACATTACCATGTGGAGTGGAACAAATGGAACAAGCACACAGCCTCCATTCTTTTAAAGCGATGTTTTAGTTAAAAATTGTACCTAAAATATGGCTACAAATTAATTCTTAGCTGTCTGTATCCTGCAATTATTGTATCTGAATAAGTATTTAGAATGAGGGATGGCATATCTAAAGCAACAGTAAAGTATTCAACATGTATAAAGTGCCTGCTATGGCCCTGCAGTTCATGCATTGAACCCTTCAGGCTGGCCCCACAGTCTTCCCTGCTCCTAAATGTCGCAACATCCTGCCTCTCTACCAGAAAAACAGAAATCAGTGTCTGGCAAGAGTGGTTTTTCAGGTAAATA